CGCCACTTATAAAATTCACAAGTAGTGTGCGCCGCTGATCCCCCACCCCCCTCAGCCAGCGACGCCAGCGACGCCACCACCGCACGGATTTATGACGCCAATAAATTCGGCATTACATGATTTGGCGGCGGCGCCGCGTGCATCGACAAGCGCAGCAGCCCCGCGCCAACCAGGCCGAGCCCCAATCACCGGATGGAAACCGTTTCGAAATGTATTTAGTGCGGTCGTGCCTCGGCGCGGCCAGCACAACCCGCACAACCAGCACAGCCAGCACAGCCAGCACGCCAGCACAGCCAGCACAGCCAGCACAGCCAGCACAGCCAGCACAGCCAGCACAGCCAGAACAGCCAGCACAGCCAGCACGGCCAGCACGGCCAGCACGGCCAGCACGGCCAGCACAGCCAGCACAGCCTGCACAACCAACACAGCCAGCACAGCCAGCACAGCCTGCACAGCCTGCACAGCCAGCACAGCCAGCACAGCCAGCACAGCCAGCACAGCCAGCACAGCCAGCACAGCCAGCACAGCCAGCACAGCCAGCACAGCCAGAACAGCCAGCACAGCCAGCACAGCCTGCACAGCCTGCACAGCCTGCACAGCCGGCCCAGCCGGCGCAGCACTGGGCCGCCCCAGTTTTATCATTGTTCCACCTTTATCCCGGCGTAACGACGAGGTGCAGGGCCGCGCGCCCATCACGCCGGGCGTTCTCTCACCCCCTCACCCCCCCTCACCCCCCGCTCGGCCGCCAGATGGCGTATCGGGACAACCATTACGCTATCTATCCTGGGAAAAGGGCCCTCGGCCCGCGCGCGCGCTAACGCCGGACGAGGTACTTGTTCACCCCAGCCACCCTCTCCCCCCCTCGCCCGCCCGCCAGCGCCCCACCTGCTCCCTTTCAGGCCAGCCAGCCGAGCCGGAGCAAGCCAGGTCAAATCATTAGGGCCCCGGGTAACCACCCCTCTCCTGGAGGGGAGGGGAGGGGAGGGGTGGAGGCGGAGGCGGACAGCACGCCGGGTAGAGCTACGCTGGAGGCTGGCTGTCTCGGTCGGAGAACCCGCGGCCCGCTGGCCCTCGCCAGGGCGAGAGACGAAAAGAAGAAAATAACTCTGAAGAGGAGGAAAAGATACAAGTCGGCGCTTCGCCCAGGCGAGCGCCTCTGGCCGCGAGGCGCCGAGCAGCCAACACCTGCGCACAGTCGGCACAGGCCCGTGCTGGAGGTGGCAGGACTGCATGGGGCTGTGCAGTTCCACGGCACTCTCCAGCTTAGGCGATGGGCAACGACTGGGGAGTGCCGGGAGAGAGGGCCCTGAGGAGGGATCATCCTGAGAGTACGTCCGTCAAACTTATGAAATCGCTAAGTTCGGCCTGGGCCAGGGGAGAAGGGCGCCCTTCTCTCCTGGCCCAGCCCGTGAAAGCTCCCATAGCGCCTGGCGGGTAGGCAACATCTCGCCCGCAGTGCACGCCTGTACGGCGGGGTGGCCTACCCGGAGTCTCGCAGGCGGCCGAGCTCCAGAAATTTAGCGAATGAATCTGAGGTAAAACGGACGCACCTCGGGACGCACTTTCTGGGCGATCCCTAATCCAACGGACACGGACACCCCTAAGACAGCAAAGCAGTAGCGTGCGCCGTCGTGTGGCGGGGCGGCGCAGGGTGAGAGGGGGTTAGGCGGGATGGGCTGGGGTGGGGTG